AGTCTAGACACCAGGACACGATGAAAACAAATCTAACAACGAACATTAAATGGAGTCATTAAAACTGGTCTTTAAGAGTAACACAAGCAGACAAGTTAAATTAAGATACTTTCATCTTGTTTCATGCGGTCAGCTAATAAACATAATCACTGCATTATTAATTTGACATTTCTTAAGGTGATGTAAATGTTGTCAGAGTGAATTTGATCATAACAGGAAGTGGAATGTCAGGCTATGAAAAGACCTTTTAATCAGGGCCCAACGTGTTTTTAAATGTTTCAAGATACTACGAAAAAAAACCTGTTGCAGTCATGCGATGAATATACTGTACTGTAATCTGAGACCGCTTTGTTTCTCTAGGAAATGATAGACAGTCGTTGGAATATTCTTAGCAGCGACTACAGCGGCATTCAGACAGGCCTCGCAGGTCCCTGTGTTGACTCATGAGGTTGGGCTGTTTTCACCACAACCACTTTGCTTAATTCTGTGTTCTGTGTACAAAACACAGCATCACACAGAACAACCAAAACACATCCTGCCCTTTGGCATGACGTTCCCACTGCACTCAGAGCTGTGATACTTCATGTTCCTGAGGTTTATGTCATTATCTTTGCAAACATTTTTGATAGCATCCTTTTGTGTTCTAAATTTAGCCTAAATGTCTAGGAATCAAAGGATGAACTCTGGAAACAACTTGGGCAATTGGCTTGTTTCCTTTCTTGCTCGGGGCACTTACAACTCCATTACATGCTCACTTACTGCAAATGACACTGTGCCACCCATTTGCGGTTCGCTGAAACAGAACAGTGTATACGGGTGGCTAGCTCGACTCTACCCCGGAGCTTTGTGCCACCTCTAGTGACCTTCAAAGCCTCCAATCTTTTGGGAATATTTCCAGCTCCCTTTAGACTTACATTCAGTTGTCATTGAGGTTTGCTGCAGGAGGTTTAGTGCCTGAAGTTTTTAAATGCACAATAAAGGATGTTGGTCATTTTTAGCCCACTCCTGAAGGTTAATGGTTTATTCACGCTTCAAATACCACATGAACGAAACACGTGTTTGGATTTGTGTTCGCTTCATTGAAGATAGTTCTTCATATTTCTACTAATTTTAGTTTCTACCATCCTATTACAGTGTCATTGTTCAGGACTTATATTTTTTTTAATTGTAGACCTCGGTAATTTAATTTAAATGTGTTGTGTGACTTTTAAATTTTGCTACAACTGCACGATCTTTCTCCATAACCGGCATGACCTTTGCAGTCTGCATCCTTGCTTGTTTGAATGTTCAATAGACACATATTTATGAAACAGTCAGTGCTGCTCTGATGAGCCGTGCCACCTCTTACATTCACCTCATCTCTTTACTTTTGAAATTAATTTCCTGCATCGCTTAAAACACACGTGACGTTTAAAGTAACCCTCCAGGCAAAATCAGATTTCATTGTGAAACACGAGTACAAGCATTGCTTATCACCTTGACCACATCTCGTCGTGTACTTTGTTTTTCTTAAACAGCCAGGCGTCGTGTTCCTGCGCCTACTGAAGCTCAGATTACCAATTGTTCTGCGTACTTCTTGCAGTAGAAGTTATTCATCTCATTATAAGAGCCTCAGGCAACCAATAGGTAACACCAGTGCTTATATAGTATACAGTAAAGAATTAGCTAAATGGGCAAAGACGTTTTACCATTTTTATCTAGTAGATTAAAATTATTTCTTTTATTCTTTGAAGTCTCTAAATCCATATTTAATGTCAGTTCCATCAGGCCTGCAGATCAGTTTGACACTGACACTGAAATTTCTGATTAGCAAAACGGTAAAAATATAAAGACTTGACAGATCAGTTCTTACCTTTCTGTAAAGTTAAATGCTGATCCGAGTGCAGGACTGTCTGTACCTGGGTTGAGAGGTTCTCCGAGCAGCCACCTGCTGGAATGAACCAGCCCACTCGCCACTGTAAAAAAACAAAGATTAACACCTCCCTTTAGCATCTTGTGATGTCACACAGGCAGGTGAGCATTTGTAATTTTGAAGGTGTGTCTATGCAGAGTAAGGAGGGCAGGAGTGCGTACATGTAGATACAACTTGGGTTTTGCACATGTTTCTGTTTTGCATGTCCAGATCAGTTAATACAATGCTTACAGCTGAGTGCAAAAGTCTTGAGCCACACCTTATTCCTTTCCTTTAATAACACTAAAGTCCAAGCTCTGGAGATTGTTTCAGTTATTGGCATATTAAAAGAATAAGTCTGATAATCAGATGCTTTCCAGATGATATTGCATGGTGGATCACAATATCACACTTCTCTGCTCATTGTTCCGTTAGTTTTTGACGACGTCTCCAACACCACTGATTGAAATGCAGCCCAAACCATGACAGAGCCTCCACTGTGTTTCACAAATGCTGTTGGACCTCTCTCCTCCATACATGTTGATGATGACTTGAAACAGAAATTAAAAATTTGGATCCATCAGACCTGTTGAATCAGTTTAGAGAGCATTTCTGACGAGGCTTTAGTGAACATTAGAGGGTTCAATTTAAGGGTCAGATATTCAGGTCTCTCAGGTTTTTGAAGAACGTGATTTTTTTTTGGTATTGTTCATCTGCTGTAGATGGTGCTTTCGCAGCAAAAAAAATTTCTGGCACAACTTCACCTGCTTCCAAGGTGCATGGAGAGGATAAAAGAATTCACAAAGCAGGAACTCCAGCAACACTTGAGGAAGAAGAACAACTTTAATAATAGACCAACGCGTTTCGGCTTGTGGCCTTCATCAGGGTCATAGTAAAACATTGTAAAAATTGCTTAAATACAAGACAGGAAACAGGAAAAAAAATTCAAATTAACCAGTCAAAACTTCATAGATAGGTCAGCTGACATATAATAGGTAGGTATTGGTTAATTGGCTAAGTCACGCCCAAGTAAATACCGGACTAGATCATTACTGATGAGGAGAAGGGGGTGGGGGGGGGACATAACCCCCATATGTCTGAAAATAACACATGCATGAAATGCATAAGGAGGATGCTATAAATATACACTCAGGTTTAAAAAGGAAAAAAAACCACAATTGTTAAAAGATCCTTATTTATGTCTCTAAAATGTAAAATATCTAAAATTTAGAGTTGAATTGTAGACTTAAGATGCTGTAGATGGTACTTTCTACATAACTAAACATTAACATTTTATATCTGTCTAAAGACAATATTTTTTAGTTTCACACATTCTAAGACAATTTAGAAAAATTTGTAAAATATATATATATGATTAGTGCTTGAGTAACCTTGATATGCATCTGCAAGCTGCTTTGCAACCCAAGTGCACTCTGTGTCTGACTTAATCAAAGTCATATCTGTTCTCATTGATGCCTGCTCCGTTCTGGAGGTTTTGTTGCTCCGGGCCACTGGGAAGTCAGACTATAGCCGTGCTGTTAGATACATCATAAATAAATGCAACACATCAGTGTTCTTTGGACTACATGTAAATACATTTCTGTTATGCATCCTTAAATGATTTTGGTTACAAATTTCATCAGACTGATTCAGCAAGCGTGAACGGAGAAAATACAGAACAGTAAAAACGTAGTCCCAATGTGTTATGGGATTAGCTGTGATCAGTGTTGGGAAGGTTACTTTTAAAATGTATTCCATTACAGAATACATGTCTCAAAATGTATTCTGTAACGTATTCCGTTACGTTACTCAATGAGAGTAACGTATTCTGAATACTTTGGATTACTTAATATATTATCATGCTGTTTACAACTACATGAATGTACTATTGCTGTGATTTATTACTGTTACTGAAGGTCCGCGGCTCCGAAGGGACCTCTGGCTAATACGGTGGGTTCTGTGTCGGCTCGTAGCTGAAAACTAGCTTTACTTTGTTGTCTGGGCAGTGTTGCCAACTTAGCGACTTTGTCGCTATATTTAGCGAGTTTTCAGACCCCCTTAGCTACTTTTTCTGGTGTTATTGGAGACTTATTGATGATGACTTTTTGACGTTTTTGGAGGAAAACACGAACACGGTGTACAGTCGAGTCTTAATAGCTTACTTACAACTGGGCTCGTCAGGCTCTCTTCTTGGCTGCAGTGGTTATTATTATATTTACAAGCTTCCAGCTCCCGTTTTTGCTCGATGACAGCTTGTACTACAGACACATAACGTGTATGGGTGCGGCAGTCCATTCTCCCTGCAGCACGGACTACACTGCCTATGATGCTACATTCTTTAGAGCTATACCTGTAGCATTCTGCTTATTAGCTTAGCACAACAACAACAAGCAGAGAGAGAGCGGCACCCTGTAACCATGGCAACCGTAACGCTGCCACCTGGCTGGAACAACAGAACGTAGCTGTCAAACAAAACCCAAACAGTCCTGACCCGCCACAATATGAAACAGGGAAGTACCGCCGTGTAATCCATTTATTTCAACAAAGTAACTGTATTCTAAATACCACCTTTTTAAACGGTAACTGTAACGGAATACAGTTACTCATATTTTGTATTTTAAATACGTAACGGCAGTACATGTATTCCGTTACTCCCCAACACTGGCTGTGATTTATAGGACTTGAACAGGAGGCTCAAAAAACAGTGAATAATAACAAGGCCGGAGCGGTCACACTGAGAATGTTACAGGTAAGAGTGTGAAGGAGCTCATGCATGAACATCTGCTGGTAACAACACCAGCAGAAACGGTAATAATTCTAAAAATGTTGCAACAGCAGAATGTTAACTTAAAGCTTTATTGGAGGCTTGGTTGCAGAGTTCACGTGTCGCTTTCTTCATGTCATCTTTACAATCTCAAAAAGCTCTCAGCCTTTCGATTTCACCGCTCGTCATAAATTTATGTCGTTATTATGCTTCAGGTGGAGTCTCTGTCTGAGTGACGGCGTGGGACCTCTACCTGTGAGGTTTGATGTTTCCTCGCAACTTTCCTTAGTTGACGAGGAATCGGTTTATTTGGTGTCAGCCTGTGAATCAGTCCTTCTCTTCGGCCTTTGGCTGTGCACGAAAAAGAAAACAACGTTTAGCTCATCCGCCTGCGTTCACAACAACGAGTTAACAACTGGTGAACTCGGTGCTTTCTTGTGCCTCTTTTTTTGAAAGGTCTAGTCTAAATTTCCCTTAGTCCCAGCGCTCAACTCAAACATCTAATCTCTTACTTAATAACTGCTCTGCTATTTCAGTCTTTGTCCAGGACCTAAAGCACGACTCAGGTTTCAAACACTGAATTCTTTTGCCTGTAAGCTTGTGTGTGGTGGTGGAGAAAGCATAAATCTTACTTTGATAGTACATGCAATCCTTTTCACATAGCTACAAACAAATCTGGGACTATGGAAATTAGAGCCTGCTGTTAGGTCAATAACCCCCTTAAGTGTTTATTATAAATAGTGGCAAGTAGATACCACGAATGGCTGAAAGACTGACTTGTGCCTTTAAGTATACCTGTCATTACAGCTAGCCTCGTGCTCTGTGCAGACGGTGGATGCTCATATTAAATGTTTTAAATAGTGAGGTCAGCGCATGGGTACGTAATCCCTATGAGCCAAAAGCTCAGGCTTCGCACTGCTCCAAACTAAAGGTAGACGTAGCCAAAGCGTTACTACTCACCGGTTCCTGGACTTCGTTTTGAAGCTTTGCTGGTGCCATGCTGTTTTCATTTGGAGTCACCAGTGACCATATTTGGACAAGAGCGCTTTGAGGGCCCCGAAAAGCGCTATATAAATGCAGTCCATTATTATTAAGAGAGCGGGGTGCCATGTTCCGAACTAACCGCCTGGCTAGATGCATCTATTAGAGTCACACGTCGTGCACGGACACAGATACCTGCTCATTAGTCTTAAGAAACAGATTGGAAAAATAGAAGAAGTGGAAACTTTCTGTACTGCACAGCAGGTCATGTTACTTGTCAAACACCAACAGTACAAACACAATCATGAGGTCCAGTTCTGGGAATTGGTGGAAGTGAGGCCCACCTGAGAGCCATCAGCTACCTTATGTTAGCACACCTGTCACCACCAGTGTTGGTCAAGTTACTTGAAAAAAGTAATCAGTAACTAATTAC